GATGGGGGAATGTTGGTGGTCGTGTAATGGAATGGAGTCCCTTTTTGAACAACTTTCTCTGTAGCTTTTTCCCATAGTAATTAGCTTGTTTCAGTTTTTTCAGCTTGAGCAAGTTTTCATGTGACTTTTTAATCATATTTTACCAATTATGTCCAATTTTTCAAAAAATATATATTGGGGTAAATTGACTTTGTAAGTAGTTTTTAATCTTTTAATGTAACTGTGATTTTCCTTTATAAATTATTGTTTTATACAGTTGTATTTTCTTTCTTTTTATTGATTGAATTAATACAAATTTAACAAGTTTATATACCCCTTTTCCTACCCATAAAAGATTTCTTGAACTTGTTTATTAGCTCTGTATTTCTACTCAAATTTTGCTTTTATTATTGCTTTTCTTATGGTTCCTTTTCTAATGTCTCGATTGGATCCTTTAATTCTTTTTTTGTTGTTGGTATACTCATTTAAGGCTGTGAATTCTTTTCTGAACACTGATTTAATCCATTTTTTAAAATGTGCTGAAATTATCTCCTTTTTCTTCTCCTTCAGATATTCTTTAGTTTTTGTTTTCATTCTCTGTTTGGTCCAACTGTTTCTTAAGGATATCTTTAAATATTGGATTTTATTTTATTTATTTATTTTTTAATTTATTATACTTTATGTTGTAGGGTACATGTGCACAACGTGCAGGTTTGTTCCATATGTATACATGTGCCATGTTGGTGTGCTGCACCCATTAACTCATCATTTCCATTAGGTAAATCTCCTAATGCTATCCCTCCCCCCTCCCCCCACCCACAACAGGCCCCAGTGTGTGATGTTCCCCTTCCTGTGTCCAAGTGTTCTCATTGTTCAGTTCCCACCTATGAGTGAGAACATGTGATGTTTGGTTTTCTGTTCTTGCGATAGTTTGCTGAGAATGATGGTTTCCAGCTGCATCCATGTCCCTACAAAGGACACGAACTCATCCTTTTTTATGGCTGCATAGTATTCCATGGTGTATATGTGCTGCATTTTCTTAACCAAACATTACAAGAAAAAAACAACCCCACCAAAAAGTGGGCAAAGGATATGAACAGACACTTATCAAAAGAAGACTTTTGTGCAGCCAACAGACACATGAAAAAAAGCTCATCATCACTAGCCATCAGAGAAATGCAAATCAAAACCACAATAAGATACCATCTCACACCAGTTAGAATGGCGATCATTAAAAAGTCAGGAAACAGGCCGGGTGCCGTGGCTCAAACCTGTAATCCCAACACTTTGGGAGGCCGAGACGGGCGGATCACGAGGTCAGGAGATCGAGACCAGCCTGGCTAACACGGTGAAACCCTGTCTCTACTAAAAAAATACAAAAAACTAGCCGGGAGAGGTGGTGGGCACCTGTAGTCCCAGCTACTCGGGAGGCTGAGGCAGGAGAATGGCGTAGACCCGGGAGGCGGCGCTTGCAGTGAGCTGAGATCCGGCCACTGCACTCCAGCCTGGGCGACAGAGCGAGACTCCATCTCAAAAAAAAAAAAAAAGTCAGGAAACAACAGGTGCTGGAGAGGATGTGGAGAAATAGGAATACTTTTACACTGTTGGTGGGACTGTAAACTAGTTCAACCATTGTGGAAGACAGTGTGGCGATTCCTCAAGGATCTAGAACTAGAAATACCATTTGTCCCAGTGATCCCATTACGGGGTGTATACCCAAAGGATTATAAATCATGCTGCTATAAAGACACATGCACACATATGTTTATTGCGGCACTATTCACAATAGCAAAGACTTGGAACCAACCCAAATGTCCATCAAGGACAGATTGGATTTTATTTTTAAAATCATGTTTCTTTCAGTTGGGATCTGATCATATATTATTGTTTCTATTATTTGTTCTTTTGAAGTTTGCTGAATTTCTGGTTTTACATATGCTCTTTCTGGGCAGTGAATGTTTCATTGGCACTTAAGGAAGGTGTGCAATGTCAATTGGTTCTACCCCTTGAAAAATATTGAGGTTTTTTATCGCCTTACTTTATTCTGCCAACTTAAATTTATATGGACTGGAAAGTCACTGAAATCCACTGTTAACCTGTTTCTGACTATTTCTCTTTGAACATCCTGTGCTTTTTGCTTTACGTATCAATGCTATATACTTGAGACATTCGTTTTCGTACCTATTACATCTTCTTGCACCCCTTATAAAATGCTCTTCTTTTCCTCATTTACTGACATTTTTAATTCAAACATATTTTATATTAAGATTATGATCCCTGCTTTATTTTTGTTTACATCTGGCTGGTATTCCTTTACCTTTCACCCTTTCTAATTAACTTTGTTTTGGTTATATATTTTGGCATCAGCGTACAGTTAAATTTTTTAGATCCAACCTGAAATTATTTTCTTTTACTAGATGAGCTTGGCCCACTCGACTTTATCATTATAAGTGTGTTTGGTATTAATTTTATTCTATTATTTTAGGCTATACAGTTTGCTTTTATTGTTTTGAAATACCCATTCACTGTAAGGGCTACATTTGTCTTTGTTTTGTATGCATGCTTCCTCTCATGTTTTAGAAGATTTTTTTCTAGGGTTACTTTTATAACTGTAACTTTGTGTAGAGTTCTAACACTCTGTTTCTAGTCAGTGTCTACTAATTCCCTGGTATAAGCACAATGAAATTAGTGTATTCCTGTTTCTTTTCCCTTTTCTCTTTCTCCTATACCATGTAATTTATTTGATTATGTTATATTAATCTTTCTTTTATACTGGTTTGTGTACTTATACATTTATTATGTAATTTATCAGGTTTAAATAATATCTTTTAACATTCAGCTATAGAAGATGAGGAAGTCAACACATACTTCCTCCTGTCTCCTTTCTTGCTAATTATAAACATTTTACTTTTTGAGATTTTAAAAACATTTACATTTTATTTCATACTTATAATTTCCACAAATGTTTTAGTCTTAGACCTATAGTTAAATACATTTAAGATTAACCATCAGTTTATAGACTGCAGAGTTCCCATTTTTCTTTTTGTTGACTGAAGTCTGTTTCTTAAAAAAGCTTCTGTTAAAAAACAAAACAAAACTCTAAAGTCTGCTTTTTTCAACAATGGCTAATGTTTGTAACTTTCCTTGAATTCTCAGATTGTCAACTTGACTTTATATATGAATATTATATGTGAATAATGGTCTAGATAGTTTTAACAATTTTGGATCATATTTTCTTTCCCCAGAGGCTGCAGGCATGTTTTTCATTACATTCCAGCTTTGACTGCTACTTTGGAGAAATGATATACCATCTTAATTTATTTCCTTTAGAATTGACTGGATTTTGTTTTTGACTAGGCTATTCATTTTTTTAATCATTGATATTCAGTGATATTCCAGTGGTATGTAACAGTGCTGGCATTCTGTATGACTGTTTCCTGGGACAAGGTGTGCACTTTTGAATTGTAAATTCAAGTGTTTCTGTAATTTTTTAATTAAAATTGAGTTTTAAATAATTGTTCTTTTTCGCTTTTTTGATTTCCTCCATTGGTGATTCTATTGTACATAGATTGGATCTCCTTTGTCTCTTCTCATATCTGTCATTTTCTCTCTTTTCTCATTTAATCTTGTCATCTTTTAAAATACTGTTCCTGCATCTGTCTAATTTTTTTTCATTGTATTGTTCTAATATATATATTTTTTTGGTGTAGTGATTTTACATTTCTTTAACATCTTTTCTTTCTTCTTCCAGCTTGTATTTCTTATCTTTCTTGAAATCTCTTCCCTCAGCTCTTATATTTTTACTCTGTTTTCTTATTTTATATCGGAAAATGCCTCCTTAAGTTTTTTTTTTTTTTTTTTTTTTAATTTTTGGAGAGGCTGAAGTGTTTGGTAACATTTTTCTTTTTTATTATTATTTTATTTTTTTAAGTTCCAGGGTACGTGTGCAGGACATGCAGCTTTGTTACATAGGTAAACATGTGCCATGGTGGTTTGCTGCACCTATCAACCCATCACCTAGATATTAAGCCCAGAATGCATTAGCTCTTTTCCCTAATGCTCTCCCCCCCGGCCACCTCCTGTGACAGGCCCCAGTGTGTGTTGTTTCCCTCCCTGTGTGCATGTATTCTCATTGTTCAGCTCCCACTTATAAGTGAGAACATGCAGTGTTTGGTTTCCTGTTCCTGCATTAGTTTGCTGAGGATAATGGCTTCCAGCTTCATCCATGTCCCTGCAAAAGACATGATCTCATTCTTTTTCATGGTTGCATAGTATTCCATGGTGTACATGTACCACATTTTCTTTATCCAGTCTGTCATTGATGGGCATTTGGGTTGGTTCCATGTCTTTGGTAGGTAACAATTTTCATATGTTCAATGGCAACATTCTTTGATGGAGTGAATTTTATCATCCATTTGTCTTTCTTGTTTCTTTACCTCTTTTTTCTGGTAAAATCCTTGTTTATATGCTATGCAAGTTTGTTTTAATCCTTAAATGAAATGAGTTTTTGCCAAACTATATATTCACAAGATGCTTGTATCTTGCAAGGCTAAGACATGATTCAGACTAGCAGTAACCTACCTGGTGATTCAGAATTGGGGGTAAATTATTTTAGCTTTTACTTGTATGTAATGAATACAGACAGGTAACTACAACTGTGAGAACTGATGTATTTTTTTCTATCTTTTGCCTCCAGTTTTATGCTTTGTCTATAGCCTGTGTACTTAAGTCTTCATTTAGCCTTTTCTCTGCTTCTTGAGTTCAGTTCAGGATCACAGAGGATTATGGTGCCATACTTTACACTGTATACCCATTATTGCAAACAAGAGCTTTGGTTTTGTTTTTTATTGATTGCCTCCCTCCACCCAACTTTTTTTTTTTTTTTTTTTTTAAAGAGAATTATACTCGTTTAACTCTTCTACAGTCATGGATTTCCCCTCTCTGCTTCTTGTCACTCTCCTATTTGATCTTTACTGTTCTTGAATCCATCCAATCTAGTTTATGGATTGGGGTTGTGGACATTTACTAGTTTCTTTGAAGATAGAATCTGTATGTTTCTTTTTCTGCTTGTTTTGGAAAGAGAGAAATTCTGAGAAGAGAACGTTTCGGATTTACTCGGCCGTGTTCAAACCAGAAGTACACTTTTTGCTTATTTTTCCCAAGGGTTTGTCTTGCATAATCTTTACAAATAGGTTCTTGCAGCTGGGGGGTGGGTTGGAGGAGGGAGGTCCAGAGTGGTAATGTTACCTGTGCTTACACCTGCAAATAAAGGTGAATGTAGTGAAAGAGTAAACAAGTGTAGTGTGGCCTGAGGAGCACAAAATTCCTTACTTGTACAGAGGGAATGTGGCAGAGGGCTGGGCAAGTCGAAGGAGGTCTGTTTCTTTTTTCTGAATAAATAAATTATTGGGAGGAGTGATGATTTTCCTCCTTGGATGTTTCTTTGCAGGAACTCATGCAGCCAGAATCTGGGGCCAATGGAACAGCCATTGCTGAGTTCATCCTGCTGGGCCTGGTGGAGGCGCCAGGGCTGCAGCCAGTGGTCTTTGTGCTCTTCCTCTTTGCCTACCTGGTCACGGTCGGAGGCAACCTCAGCATCCTGGCAGCCATCTTGGTGGAGCCCAAACTCCACACCCCCATGTACTTCTTCCTGGGGAACCTATCAGTGCTGGATGTTGGGTGCATCAGCGTCACTGTTCCCTCAGTATTGAGTCGTCTCCTGTCCCACAAGCATGCAGTTCCCTATGGGGCCTGCCTTACCCAACTCTTCTTCTTCCATCTGTTCGTTGGAGTGGACTGCTTCCTGCTGACCGCCATGGCCTATGACCGATTCCTGGCCATCTGCCGGCCCCTCACCTACAGCACCCGCATGAGTCAGACAGTCCAGAGGATGTTGGTGGCTGCATCCTGGGCTTGTGCCTTCACCAATGCACTGACCCACACTGTGGCCATGTCCACGCTCAACTTCTGTGGCCCCAATGTGATCAATCACTTCTACTGTGACCTCCCACAGCTCTTCCAACTCTCCTGCTCCAGCACCCAACTCAATGAGCTGCTGCTTTTTGCTGTGGGTTTTATAATGGCAGGCACCCCCATGGCTCTCATTGTCATCTCCTATATCCACGTGGCTGCTGCAGTCCTGCGAATTCGCTCTGCAGAGGGCAGGAAGAAAGCCTTCTCCACGTGTGGCTCCCACCTCACTGTGGTGGTCATATTCTATGGTTCAGGTATCTTTAACTATATGCGACTAGGTTCAACCAAGCTTTCAGACAAGGATAAAGCTGTTGGAATTTTCAACACTGTCATCAATCCCATGCTGAACCCCATCATCTACAGCCTCAGAAACCCTGATGTGCAGAGCGCCCTCTGGAGGATGCTCACGGGGAGGCGGTTACTGGCTGGGGGAGGTCTCAATTGACCTTTTCTCCCTGCATCTTTTGTACTAACGGAAAAATCTTCTAGAGCCAGAAACAAGGAAAAAATGGTTCAGACTTGTTTCTGTTTCCATGGGCATAAGAAGGACTTTTTGTAGGGAATAATAGTTTTCATTTCTTAAAGCAGCCCTGTCCAGTTATAGGCAATGAGTGTATAGGATCTGCCAAACCAGCCCCTTAGACAAATTCAACTTCAGGCACTGTGTTCTCTCCTTGCTGGCTAGAGGTGAAACCTAGGAAGCTGTGAATGCTCGCGGTTCATGTCCCAGAGGGAACGACTCTTTGGTTGGTTACAGCCCGAGTTGCCAGAAGTACCCCAGAAAACTCCCCCCGAGAAGTCATATTTTTCCCTCAAGTTCAGGTATGCTTGGTCTGTTTATAAAACATAGGTCTAGAGATGAGGATTGTTTGATTTCTCCCATCAGAACTCTATAAGCAAAAATAAAACAAAAAGAAACAAAAACAAAAAAGTAGCTCTTTCTATTCCCTTTAAACAAGGACCCCATAGCATAGACAGGGGACAGAGGGGAAGCTGTATGGTTACGTATTCTCTAGTAATTCTGGAGCACCTGATGCCTGCGTGCAGCTCGCAGACTTGTTTCTAAACGCTAAAACTCCATTAATACGTGTTGTATATCTTATGATACAAAAATGAATTTTGCTCATTTTTTTCCCCATGTGTTTCACATTTTTTGAGAAGATAATTTATAATCTAGAAAAGATAAGAATTTATAATCTAAGCATTATTTATGTATTTCAAAAAACCCAAGACTCCTCAATATGAAAATTTCTCCAAAACTCTTACTCTTAGTCTGCAAACCTCCTTGCTGAGATAATCCATAACTATAAATGCAAGTCGTATGGTGAGGAGTCGCCCTGAATGTCCCTTCTCAGTAGGGGAGTGTGCCTCTGACCCAGAGCATTATCTCAACGTGCTGGATGTTAAACCAGCCGTGATCTCGCTGTATCTTCTTTCTAGCCTCGCATTTAGGACTCATTGCCCACCCCTGGCAACTCTCCTGTGCCACTGCTGGTTCCCAGTGCCCCTCCCTAAAACTTTCCTTTGACTGGCACCTGTGACTTGGCTTCTCCATAATATTTTATGGGGGTAAGGGATTGAACAGACGCAGTAAGATAGAGAGAAACAGAACAGACACAAAAGAGGGAAGCAAACCAAGGTTGGAGGAGGAGAGTTGGTGGGAAAAGGAAGTGGAAAGATGAGGAGTAGGGAGAATGGGAGAGAATTGCAAGTGGAGGGGTTGAAAGGGAAGCATGGCCATATTAGAGAGGAGCAGATGGGGTTCACAGAATGGGGAATGTGAAAGAATGGAGGAATTGGGTAAGATGCTTTGAGACTGCTGAAAGATCAGAGGAAGAAAGTGGGGAAATAAAATAAGTGGGTCACACATGAGAGAGGTGGGCTTCCCATTCTGTGTTGTCCAGCAACAGCCAATTCCAGTAGCCCTGATGCCATCGTTGTAGTCCATCTTCTCTACTAAGAAGGAAGTGATTGATATTTTAAGTTATGCTAAATGTACAAAAAAAGTACAACAAGGACTCGTCTTCTCTTTCTCTGAACAGAAGTGCTCCTAGGATGTCAGGAAGAAGGTTTACTAGATGAGAAAACAGAGAAGAAAAGAGTGCTGGGTATTTTCTCCAGCTGCATATCTAAAATGTCATCAAACTTTGTGACAAACTGCCCAACTTACACTCCCTACCTTTTGAGTCATGCCGGCTGACAGTGTCAGTAAACATAGGAAAAAGATGTCTTTTTCTGATTCTTACTGTGTCATCAGACAAACTGCAGGGACACAAAGAGTGAGTCTCCTTCAAGGGTCAAGAAGACTGTTGGGGAAGACCTGGGATATGGTTCCCATCTCATCCCTTCTCTCATGCACGATGCGCTTGACCTTGAACAAGTTGATTAGTTCCTCTGGGTCTGTTCTTGACCAAAAGCACTAGGTTATATTAAGGTTCTTCCACTGCGAATGTTCTCTGAGTCTCTTAGTTTGAATGAATAGAAAGACTGGATCTGTTTACCCTGAGAGAGCTACCGCACCTTCCACCATCACTTCTTTTGCTACACGTAACACCTGCAGCAAAACTGAGCCTGCTGTTTATCTCCAAAGATCTGGTGCCTCTGGCATTTCGTCCAGCTGGCTATTTACTTCCAGCCTCAAGGAAAGATTTCTGTCTTGGCCTTGTCACTAGGGTAGACTGGAGCAACTGGGTCCAACATCATGGAGAATGGCCAAGGACATGATTCCCTGGTCCCTGTTCACCCTCCAGGATCATACAGCTTCTTTATCAATTTGGGAGATTCCATTTCTTTTGGAATTTTTCTCCCCTTTTATATTCCAAACTGGAAATCTCCTTGCTACTTAAAAATTCTATTATACATGTAATGCATCATGTTGTAAATGTCCAAACAGTACGGAACATCACCAGCCTTCTGCACCATCCCCACATTAATCTCATCTTTAAAAGTAACTACTGTTAATAGTTTCATGTTTAGCTTTCCAGACAAATGAACATACACGAACACACACACACACATTCAAAACCATACTGTGTTGTAATCTTACTTTTCTCTGTCTATGTTACATAGTATATTCTTACATGTCAGTCTAAAAATCTATCTTACCCATTTTAAAGGCTGCATAATATTCCATTTATATAAAATTATAATCTATTTAACCACACCCCTATTGATGTAATTTAGTTCCTGTTTTTGTAACTGCCAATAATACTGAGATTAATATTTATATATCTATCTGAATATCTGAAATTATTTCCAGTGGCTAAGTTCATGAACATGGTTTATGTGTTTGTGTATAAGAACATGTTCACTATAGGAAATAGAAATGCAAAGTTAAAGTTTAATAAGTATTCTGCCTTTGTATTTGCCAAAAAATGTACAGCATTTTACATCCAGATTGGCAGTGTATGTGAATGCTTGTCACTTCACATCTTCGACCTCATTGGATGTTTTTTATATATATATATCTCTTTATATTTGAAAATTAGATGAAATATTGCATTATTTTTAATTTGAATTTCTTTGATTATGGGTGTGGTTGAATACATTTTTACGTACAGTCATGTGTCACTTAACGACAGGGATACATTCTGAGAAATGCATTGTTAGGTGATTGGGTTGTGGGAACATCGCTTCCACCTGTGTAAGAGTGTACTTGCACAAACCTAGGCGGTATGGTCTAGTAAACACCTGGGCTATATGAAATAGCCTGTTAATAGCCTATTGCTCTGACCACTGCCATATATGCAGGCTTTATTGACCAAAACATCATTATACTGCACATAACTGTATTTATTTGTTATTTGTATTTCTTCTTTGCAAACTTCTTTTTCTTTTGTGTGTGTGTGTGTGTGTGTTTCCCTTTTGGTGATAGTTTATCTTTTTGTAAATGATTGGTAGAAACACTTTCTGTTTTAAAACGGTAATTCTTTGCCATATATGTTGCTAACATATTTCCTAATTTCCCATTTGTCTTTAACTTTGTTTAGAGTAACTGCTGCCCAAATTAATTTTATATTTTATGAACTTTATCTTGTTTTATGTCATGCTTAGGAAAGAGAACTTTTTCATCTAAATGCTGTATAAATATGTGTCTGATGTTTTTCTAGTATTTTTACATTTCTTTTTAAGTCAAACATTTAATATATTTAGAGCTTATTATTGTGTATGTTCTAATTTTTTCCTAGTAGATAATTGTCTCAGCACAATAAAAGTTCAATTACATATACAGTATATTGATATTATATATATAAAGAAAAACATAAATTCAGCAAAAGTAAAAATATTTTAACTGAGACAAATGCTGCCACCCATGAAGCAAGTTTGCAGTTCAAGCCTCACCAAGAGAATTACCTATCAAACATGGGAAATGACACATGGTAAATAATCTAATCGAGAATCTCCAGCAGAACAGAGTATTCGTAATATCCAGGATACAGTCCAGAATTAATATATGAAGAATCAAGAAAATGCAACACATTCTCCAGAGAAAAGAAAATCCAGCAAGTCCAACTCTGAAATGAACTAGATGTTGACACTCACAGGCAGAAATTTTAAATGGCTGTTATAATTACCCCAAATTAGGTAAAAAATTAAAACAAACATGGTTTCAAGGAATGAAAATCTCAGCAGAGAAATAGACACAATACTGTGTACACATGGATGCAGAGGGGAAGGATAGACAATGGAAAATCAGAAATGGGAGGGGGTGGATGATGAGAATAAATTACTTAATGGGTACAGTGTGCATTATTTGAGTAATGGGAAGCCTAAACGCCCTGACTTGACCACTCTGCACTCTAGGCATGTATCAGAAATGTGGGGGGATGGGGGGTGGGAGGGGGGTGGATGATGAGAAATTACTTAATGAGTACAATGTACATTATGTGAGTGATGTCCCCATCCCAAGATCTCAAACTTTAAAGTCTCCTTTACCATATAAAGTAGATTCCAGTGTTTAGGCGGGATATCTTTGGGGCCCATTCTTCTGCCTACCACAAGATGGATTAAAGACTTAAATGTAAGACCTAAAACCATGAAAATCCTAGAAGAAAACCTAGGCAATACCATCCAGGACATAGGCTTGGGCAAAGACTTCATGTCTAAAACACCAAAAGCAGTGGCAACAAAAGCCAAAATTGACAAATGGGATCTAATTAAAGAGCTTCTGCACAGCAAAAGAAACTATCATCAGAGTGAAGAGGCAACCTACAGAATGGGAGAAAAGTTTTGCAATCTGTCCATCTGACAAAGAGCTAATATCCAAAATCTACAAATAAACAAATTCACAAGAAAAAAACCAACCCCATCAAAAAGTGGGCAAAGGATATGAACAGACACTTCTCAAAAGAAGACATATATGCAGCCAACAAACATACGAAAAAAAAAAAAAGCTCATCATCACTGGTCATTAGAGAAATGCAAATCAAAACCACAAGGTGATGATACCATCTCATGCTAGTTAGAATGGTGATCATTAGAAAGCCAGGAAACAACAGATGCTGGAGAAAATGTGGAGAAACAGGAACACTTTTACACTGTTCGTGGGAGTGTAAATGAGTTCAACCATTGTGGAAGACAGTGTGGTGATTCCTCAAGGATCTAGAACTAGAAATACCATTTGACCCAGCAATCCCATTACTAGGTATATACCCAAAGGATTATAAATCATTCTACTATAAAGACACATGCACACGTATGTTTCTTGTGGCACTGTTCACAATAGCAAAGACTTGGAGCCAACCCAAATGCCCATCAGTGACAGACTGAATAAAGAACATGTGGCACATATACACAATGGAATATTATGCAGCCATAAAAAAGGATGAGTTCCTTTCCTTTGCAGGGACATGGATGAAGCTAGAAACCATCATTCTCAGCAACTAACACAAGGACAGAAAACCAAACACTGCATGTTCTCACTCATAAGTGGGAGTTGAACAATGAGAATACATGGACACAAGGAGGGGAAGATCACACACTAGGGCCTGTTGTGGGGTGGGGGGCTAGGGGAGGGGGAGAGATAACATTAAGAGAAATACCTAATGTAGATGATGGGTTGATGGGTGCAGCAAACTACCATGGCACGTGTATACCTATGTAACAAACTGCACGTTCTGCACATGTACCCCAGAATTTAAAGTATATTAAAAAAAAAAATCTACTTCGTAGAATTGTGAAGACTGATAGACTCCAGGCTTGTTAAGTTCTTAGAACGTTACCATGTACATGACAAACACTCATAAATGGTTTCTGTTTGTCTGTTTTTGTTTTGTTGTTTTTTTGAGATGGATTCTCACTCTATAGCCCAGGCTGCAGTGCAGTGGTGCGATCACAGCTCACTGCAGCCTCCACCTCCTGGGCTCAAGCGGTCCTTTCATTTCAGCCTCCAGAGTAGCTGAGAGAACAGGCACGCACCAATGTGCCTGATGGATTTTTGTATTGTTTGTAGAGATGGGGTTTTGCCATGTTACCCAGGCTGGTTTTGAACTGGGCTCAAGCGATCCCCGCCTCACTCTCCCAGTGCTAAGATTACAAGTTTGGGTCACCACACCCAGCCACAGATACTCATACATGTTATCAATTCATATGTATATAAATTGTTGAACCTCTGTGATATTCACAGCAGTGCTCTGGAGGAAGGATATCTCATTTTACAGATGAGGAAACCGAGGCCCCAAAACTGACTTCGCAGCTTGTACAAAGTCAAACCACTAATAATCAGAAGAGCAGGTTTGTCTATTCTGCTTTTTCTACTGCACCAGCATTCCCTGGTGGGGGAAGAAAGATCCCTGTCTCTTAGGCGAGGGGATGTTGGCTGAGCGTGTGTTAGTGGGAAGGGGAGTCAGAGGAACACACGCCTACACCTTCCCACAGCCTCTGTTCATTAACCTGCGACCTTCACCAGGCCTCTCAATTACTCAGGGGCTGGCTTAGAAAATCACGTTGGTAGGCAGCCTCCCAAGGGTCCTTCTAGCATCCTAGGGCTCGTCTCCCACCACCTCCAGAATCATTATAGGATCCCCAGGACACAGTCCCAGTGGCCCCACTAACAAGGCCCCAAGAGAGAAAGCGCCACACGACTGAGGGCTCAACAGGAAACCAGCTTTGAAGCAAGCTTTCCCCTCTTACCTCCCTTCTGAGGCCTGCTTTGGGCTTGTCACAGCTCACATGCCCTGGCTGACATCTGGGAAAGAAAATTTCTCCTTAGAAAACCCATCTAGAGGCCCCAGCTGCACCTCTCCCTTCCTGGGGGACTTTGAGGACATGGACAAGTCCTGCAGGCCTCAGTGACCCACCATTAGGCAGAGCGGACATCATCCGCCCTAACATCCTGCCCACAGAGCCGGGGCTGGAGGCAAAGCCTTCCTTGTGAGAAAGTCTGAACACCAGAAGGTGTGAGGCGTCGTCGCCATGAGTATGAAGGGCCTGAGGTGTCTCCTTTTCCATGGCTGTCTCCCCAGCCTTCTCTCTCCTAGGAGGGCCCGCTTCTCAGCGCCCCGGAGGACAGCGCTGTGGTGAAGACAGCCCCGGACAGAGAGCACAGCAGCCCGAGTCCTCTCATTTCTCAGACACAGCCCCTCACGCGCTCTCCGGGAGGATAACGCTTCTTTCCTGAGGGAACCTCAGTGGCTTCTGTGCCCGTTCCAGGGTGAGTATTCGCACGAGTCCTTCCTCTGCCCCTGCAGAATGGAGAAGGGGCTTCTGTTGCCATCAGCTTCATAAACCTGGTGCGATGGGTGCCCTGAAAGGGAAAGCCATTTCGGGGAGATCTGGGACGATAGCCCGGAGGTCCTGGGGTCTTTTGTGGTTTTTTCCCTCTCTCAGATGGAGCCTGTTAGCGTGAGTGTGGGGAGATGCTCAGACCAGTTCACTGCCCACACCCGCTGCTTCAGGCAGCCGGGAACCCTCGCTCCAGCGAAGGCCTTGAGGCCTTGTCATGTTGGGCGCATGAGGGATGGGCTGGAGTTCCAGAGCAGGGGCTGTCACAGCTCGTAAGGGAGCCTCGAGGGTGGTCGTGCAGGAGGGCTCCCCAGTGGGCCTCGTGGGGACCCTGTCAGACCCTCGGGGTGTCTCAGGGTGACCTGAGGTCATCCCAGAATCCCCCCGGTTTTAAGCAATTGCATCTGCAGCTGTCTGAGGGTTGGCAACAGCTGTTTAGTGGTTCTTCTACCCCAACCATGACTGACTGGTCTGGAAGGTGTGGCCCCTCCTAAGGGCCGTATTGTTTTGGGAGGTTTAAGTAAAAAGAAGCAGGTGGATTGGTCCATGACCTGCTTGTCCCATTAACACAAAGGAGTCCCTGCCACAACCTTGCACCCTGCACTTAACCTGTACCTCCCCTAAAGCATACTAGGCCAGGACAAATTCCAGTGTGTCCAGAAAGTCTTCCTTGACAACTCTACCTCATACCGATGAAATCGTACACATTTTAACCATCCATTTATTTATTTATGAAATATTGGGTAACAGCCAGGCACAGTGACTTACGCCTGTAATCCCAGCACTTTGGGAGGCCGAGGTGGGCGGATCACCTGAGGTCAGGAGTTCGAGACCAGCCTGACCATCATGGAGAAACCCCGTCTCTACTAAAAATACAAAATTAGCTGTGTGTGGTGGTGCGTGCCTGTCATCCCAGCTACTCAGGAGGTTGGGGTAGGAGAATCGCTTGAACCTAGGAGGCAGAGGTTGCAGTGAGCCGAGGTCACACCATTGCACTCCAGTCTGGGCAAAAAGAGGAAAACTCTGTCTCAAAAAAAAGAAATATGAAATATTGGATAACTATGTGTAAACTGTTATGATGATCATTGCTATTGAAAATGAATCAAACATATATTCTGTCCTTAAGTCATTTATAGAGACAGACTCTATAAAGAAGTGACTCACCTAAAATGTAAACAGTCATAAATTCCAAGAAATGGTGTATATTGACAGTTTGGGGGGTGAGGAGAGAGAGGAGAGGGGAGGGGAGGGGAGGAGAGTTTGTTTTTTGAGACGGAGTCTCGCTCTGCCACCCAGGCTGGAGGTGCAGTGGTGTGATCTCTGCTCACTGCAAGCTCCGCCTGCTGGGTTCACGCCATGCTCCTGCCTCAGCTTCCCCGGTAGCTGGGACTACAGGCACTCACCAGCTCCCCGGGCTAATTTTTTTTATTTTTTTTTATTTTTTGGTAGAGATGGGGTTTCACCGTGTTAGCCAGGATAGTCTCGATCTCCTGACCTCGTGATCCGCCCGCCTCGGCCTCCTAAAGTGCTGGAATTACAGGCGTGAGCCACCGCGCCCAGCTGAGAGATTCTTTTTAGATGGGGAAGTTTCAAGGAAGAATTAATTCATCAGTCAGCATTTGAGTCAAGTTGTGAAATATCTGGGCAGGTGCCGTCAGAGGGAAACCACTGCAGGTGGGGAAAACAGCATGAGCAAGGAGCTGGAAAACCACAGGGTTGCAATCCAGTGCTTGTGTTAAAATGGACCTGACAGGAAAAAGGAAGGTAGTCAACTATCCTTTAATATAATATGAAGAGCTATCACCCTTTGATTCGTTGATTTGCAAAGCATTATCATTTACCAACTCTGTCAATGATAATCAGGCCAGAGGATGATTTCTGCCCTCCTCCGAGTCATGTGATCTTAGAACTTTAAGGACCTCTTGGAGATCACCGCATCCACGTTCTCATCCACGTGGCATCCCCTCTGCAGCCTCCCCATGGCCTGAGCGCCCATAGTGGAGACCTCATTTGGAAGGTTGGTCATTGAGAGAGCCTCACATTGGAGACATCCCCTTGCTGTAGAGGCTCCAATGAGATGCATGTTACCCACATGAAACTGCGGGTCAGTCTTTAGAGACCACCTTGACTCTTTTTTTTTTTTTTTTGTTTTTTGAGACAGAGTCTCAGATGGAGTTGCCCAGGCTGGAGTACAGTGGCACAATCTCAGCTCACTGCAACCTCTGCCTCCCAGATTCAAGTGATTCTCCTGCCTCAGCCTCCCAAGTAGCTGGGAATACAGGTGCCCACCACCTCACCCAGCTAATTTTTTGTATTTTTAGTAGAGACGGGGTTTCACCGTGTTAGCCAGGATGGTCTCAATCTCCTGACCTCGTGATCCACCCACCTCAGCCTCCCAAAGTGCTGGGATTACAGGCGTGAGCCTCCGCGCCTGACTGAGGTTACCTTGACTCTAAGCCTAAGTGGAGGAGTCTTTGTGGAAGTGGCTGTGTGACCTGAAAGGGCTGGTGGCCTTCATGTCCTGTAAGGAGAAAAACAATGAAGAGGGAAGCAGGAAGCCATCGTCATGCCTCCCAGGCTGCAAATCTGGCAGAGTTCTCTGTCCTGGCTGGGAATTAGAACCACCTGGGAGGCGCTGAGGCCCACCCATACCCAGGTACCACCAATTAAACCAATTAAATCAAAATTATTGGTGAAAGGCCTGAGCATCATTATGTTCTTCTTAAAGCATTCCAGGTGATTCCAATAAGCATGGGGACTGAGTATCTAATTTAACAGAGTCAGGAATTAAGGCTGGAAATACCACCAAACCTTTGCAAAATATCTTACATTTTTGTGTGTCATCTGTGTGTCATCTTTTAAAGTATTTCCTCCTCTCCCTTCAGGGTTATCAGTAAAAGTAAAATGAGAGAAAACAAAACAAAACTCTTAATTTGAGGGAGTGGCAAGAAAGAGCTAGTCGTTGGAAGTATCCACTCAGTTAAATGCTAAGACAGCAGTGATCAGATGGGTGCTTAAAAAAAATCCTGATGCTGCTGGGCACGGTGGCTGACGCCTGTAATCCCAGCACTTTGGGAGGCTGAGATGGCTGGATCACAAGGTCAAGAGATCGAGACCATCCTGGCCAGCATGGTGAAACCCCGTCTCCACTAAAAATACAAAAAAATTAGCTAGGCCTGGTGGTGCTTGCCTATAGTCCCAGCTACTGAGGAGGCTGAGACAGGAGAATCTCTTGAACCCAGGAGGCAGAGGTTGCAGTGAGCCGAGATTGTGCCACTGCACTCCAGCCTGGCGACAGAGCGAGACTCCATCTCAAAAAAAAAAAAAAAAAAAAAATTCCTGATGCCTGGGTATTATCTTGAGATTCTGATTTAACTGGCCTGTGGGTAAATTCTGGATAACAGGAGTTTTTAGAGCTCCCACGTAAATCTAATGTGCAGCCAAGGTTGAGACTGGCTGTAAGACACTTGTTCCATGATTGTGAGTACATTTTCCCTTGACGTCCCTAGTCAATGCTTACCAGCGGCTGGGGAACTGCTGATGATGCCGGCTTCTTGCTTTTAAAGTCTCACCTAAACACTGCACAGTCAGCCTGCCCGGATGGCTTCTCATGCAGTCCTGCCTCCTCTGCTTTTCAGATCTTGGTTGAGACCAGTTAAGACCATGCCACCAACCCGTGCACTCAGTTCCCACTTTTATGAACAAAGGATTTAAAAATCGTTTTGGTGACCGTATCCCCAGGCAGTCATATCAGTCATACTGCTGCTACAGTGTATTTGATTTCTGCAACCTCCCTAATCATTCACTGCCCCAGCTCAGGCAATCATCACTGTTCCCTTCCAGCTGCTTCCCGTCCTCTGATTCCGGACTATTCTATGCAAGGGAGTAACATTGCTTTTAAAGAACCTCTGGCCTGGCTTATTCCATGTGCAATAGAGACAGATGTTTTTGATCTGGAGTTGGATATAAAATCTGAAAGACGACTTCAACCTGGTTTTCCAAGTACATGCCTTCCTTATTTCAGGACATAGCATTAGAGCCCTTGGTCAATCTACCGTGCATAAGTCAAGGACAAGTGGAAGAACAGTGGCTGTGCAATGCAGAATCTAATTGCGCCTGCCAGCAGCCAACCCACAGGCTGTGATCACAACTTTGGTTTTAGGGAGGAGCAGCAGAGGATACACACAGAAAACATTATTTCACAGTACATCCTTAGTCAAAGTCCAGTATAGGGGCTTAAGTAACAATAAGTGTAATAATGTATTGAACAAGGAATGTTGAATTGATACTTCAGAGTGCGGTCCCTCACCTTGGAGAAATGCACTCGACTGGTCTTTCTGACATCCACAATCATGGATACCTTCTCGCTGATTCTTGCCACAGCTTTGCTTGGCCTTTATTATGTCTAGAAGCCTTTAAACCTACGTGTTTCTGTTTCGTTTTGTTTTTTTGAGACGGAGCCTCGCTCTGTCACCCAGGCTGGAGTCCAATGGTGCAATCTCGGCTCACTGCAGCCTCCACCTCCCGAGTTCAAGCTATTCTCCTGCCCCAGCCTCCTGAGTAGCTGGAATTACAGGCACGCACCACCACACCCAGCTAATTTTTGAAGTAGAGACGTGGTTTCACCATATTGGACAGGCTGGTCTCAAACTCCTGATCTCAGATGATACACCCGCCTTGGCCTCCCAAACTGCTGGGATTACAGGCGTGAGCCACCGCCCCCAGCCTAGGTTATGTTTTAAATGCATTCTAGTTTCTCTGGATTTCTATTTTGAAACCTGCTTATTAGTTTGGGACAATCCCTCAGAGAGCAATAGGAAAATTTCATCTAAATCTAACTGTATTCATAGAGGAAGCCTTGTGTGTTTTTTAAAACAAAGTTTTTGTTTATATTTAAGGTATAGAACATGATCTTATGAGAATGGTTACTGTAGTGAAACAAATTAACATATTCATCATCTCACAGTTACCCATTTCCCCCCTGTGGTGAGGACAGCTGTAATCTACTCAGCAACAATCCTGAATGCAATATACTTTATTAACTATAGTTCTCATGTTGTTCCAAGTATTCTGAGTGTTTCAGATAGCAGAGGATGAGAGGGACAAGGTGGTGGTGGCACTGGGCATCTCAACCAAGAGCAAAGTGAAGGCATTGAGGTGATGGAGGAGGTCAAAGAGTGAGGGATGGCCTGGGGACTCGCCATGGGGCTTTGAACATAAATGGTTTAAAATGTTAATGTGAACTGAGTGAACTGATACCTCCCCTGCTGGGACACGTCCTTATAGGAACTCATGGAGTCAGAAGCTGGGACCAACAGGACCGCTGTTGCTGAGTTCATTCTGCTGGGCCTGGTGCAAACAGAAGAGATGCAGTCTGTGGTCTTTGTGCTCTTCCTCTTTGCCTATCTGGTCACAGCTGGGGGCAACCTCAGCATCCTGGCAGCTGTCTTGGTGGAGCCCAAACTCCACACCCCCATGTACTTCTTCCTGGGGAACCTATCAGTGCTGGATGTCGGATGTATCACTGTCACTGTGCCTGCAATGTTGGGTCGTCTCTTGTCCCACAAGTGCACAATTTCCTATGATGCCTGCCTCTCCCAGCTCTTCTTCTTCCACCTTCTGGCTGGGATGGACTGCTTCCTGCTGACCGCCATGGCCTATGACCGATTCCTGGCCATCTGCCGGCCCCTCACCTACAGCACCCGCATGAGTCAGACAGTCCAGAGGATGTTGGTGGCTGCGTCCTGGGCTTGTGCTTTCACCAACGCACTGACCCACACTGTGGCCATATCCACACTCAACTTCTGTGGCCCTAACGAGGTCAATCACTTCTACTGTGACCTCCCACAGCTTTTCCGGCTCTCCTGCTCCAGCACGCAACTCAATGAGCTGCTGCTCTTTGCTGTGGGTTTCATCATGGCAGGTGCACCTTTGGTTCTCATCATCACCTCCTACAGCCACGTGGCAGCTGCAGTTCTACGAATCCGTTCCGTGGAGGGCCGGAAGAAGGCCTTCTCCACCTGTGGCGCCCACCTCACTGTGGTTTGTCTTTTCTATGGAACAGGTATCTTCAACTACATGAGACTGGGTTCAGAGGACGCTTCGGACAAGGATAAAGGGGTTGGAGTTTTCAACACTGTTATCAACCCTATGCTGAACCCTCTTATCTACAGCCTCAGAAACCCTGATGTTCAGGGTGCTCTGTGGCGAATATTTTTGGGGAGGAGATCACTGACCTGAGAGGTGATGGGGTCCTTCCTTTCCTGCCTTTTCTGGACTGAGAAAAATTTCCCATGAAGACAGTAACCAGGAAGAATTCAGCCAGAACTATTTTTCCTGTCTCCTGATGCTTGAAGATGGGTGTTACGTATTTGTCCTACTAGGAAACGTTACATAATTTATTCATTCAACAAATACTTATTAGATTACCTCTGTGATCTGGACAGTCCTCCAAGGCATTGGTGAACAAAATGGACGGAAGTCTCTGCACTCACGCAGCTCACATGCTATAAAAGTAGACAAAATAAGTAAGCATCATACATACCGCATGATGATAATCTCTGTAGAGATGAACAAAGATGTTAATATGAAGTCAGCTTCTACCGGGCAAGCCCTGTGGGCAAGTTTTACCCTGTTTTTGGCTGTGCCTACTTTCTGGGTAGAGTTAAAGCCTTGTAGTTCTGTGCGCCTGGAAAGTAACAAACGTCCTACAAAGAATGTCCAGTCGGTCAGTCACAGCCTAAGTGACCAAGAGTATTTCTGCAATATTTCCTTCTGGTTAGGACGTGAGATTCCCTGCAGTTCAGAATAGGGGAAGTTTTTTTGTTTGTTTCTTTGTTTTGTTTTGTTTTATTGTTGTTTTGTTAAAAACTTGTTAAAAAGTTCTTTAGAAAACCAAAACCATGGGCCTAGTGCGATGGATTATTTCACCTTCATTTTCGTCTCTCCGCTGCCACATAAGAATCCTGCTGGATGTTGACTGGGCGCGGTGGCTCATGCCTGTAATCCCAGCACTTCGGGAGGCTGAGGCGGGCGAATCACGAGGTCAGGAGATCGAGACCACCCTGGCTAACATGGTGAAACCCCGTCTCTATTAAAAATACAAAAATAAAATTAGCCGGGCCTGGTGGCAGGCACCTGTAGTCCCAGCTACTCAGGAGGCTGAGGCAGGAGAATGGCGTGAACCCAGGAGGCAGAGCTTGCAGTGAACTGAGATCGTACCACTGCACTCCAGCCTGGGTGACAGAGCGAGACTCCATCTCAAAAAAAAAAAAAAAAAAAGAATCCTGCTGGATGTTTAGGGAACAGGAAAGGTCTAGAGAGGAAAAGAACCCCCTAAATTAAAACTACATTCATACATACATGATGTATCTTAAGGTCATAAAAGGAATGTTTCCTCTCCATTCCCTATGATGCCTTTTTCTCTCATTTAATGTCACCTTCCTCACACATACGATAAAGTTTTTGAAAGAGTAAATGTTTATATTACAATCAGGTCCTTAGATTTTTCAATGTAGAATATCCAATATAAACTTCTCCTCCAAAGTCTTACTTAGCTCTCTCAAAGCTCCTTGCTCAGAAAATACATACCCATAAGTGTAGTTCCTAGAAAGGAGGGATGCCTGCATACCTGTCTTCCTTCCTTCCCAGTGTAAATGTATGTATTTTAAAAATTATTCAGAATGTTACACCTAATAGTGGAAACATTCAGATGATATTATTTTGTCAAGTAGGAAATAAAAATCCAAATGTTCCTTCACTGCATCAAAAATCACACTGTTAACGCCTCTTAAAATTGTGTTTTTAACTCTAGCGATTTCCCATATATGTGATATGCCCATTTCACATCAGTAGAGCCATATTGTTCTGTGGTCTGCTTGTTCTTCCTACATATTATGCAATACAATCTTTTACATAATGAAGACTAACATCCTGCTGTATCTGTTTTAATGGTGGCACAGTATACCATTAAACATATAAGCCACAATTTATTTCATCAAACCTCTATCTATATAATTTGGGTTATTTTCAATTGTTTTGCAACAACAGGGTTGTGATGAATATTCTTACGGTGCTGTCTTTCCAAATCTCTAGAAGTGTTTCCCTGCGATTAATTCTTATGAATAACTTTATCAGATTAAAGGATGTGCAAATACACATTTTGAGATATGCATGCACACATCTCTTAATTTTTGCAACTTTTGCACCAGCTTACAAATTCACTGGATTTTGATAGTGTCTGTTTACCCACATCCCTACCATCAAGGGCTATGATAAATAGCATCTTCAATTTTTACAGTCTGAAAGTTGTACAATTATAGTATTTTCATTGAATTTTTTCTAGGTTTATTGAAGTATGATTAAGAAATAAAAAAATTGTACCTATGCTATAAGGCATGGTTTAATAAATGTATATATTGTGAAATTATTACCACAGTCGAGCTGATTTACATGTTCATCACCTCACAGTTATGGTTTCGTGTGTATGTGTGGTGAGAACATTTAAAAATCTATTCTTAGCAGATTTCAAGGACATCATACGTTATTATTAACTGTAGTTGTCATGCTGTACAGTAGAACTCCAGAGCTTATTCCTTCTACCTAACTGAAACTTTGTGCCCTTTGACCAGCATCCAAGATTATCCTTATTTGTTTTCCTCTGTGGGTAAAATTGGTTTTTCATCCCCTGCCTTCTTTCAAGTTTTTCTTTCTTTTCTTTCATTTTCTGAAGTTTAAATATGATATTTCTACATGTAGATTATTGATATTTATCCTATTTTGTTGTTCTCTGAGTTTCCTAGATCTATGATTTGGTGTCTGTTATTAATGTTGGAAAATTCTCAGACGTTATCACTTCAAATATTTATTCTGTCCCTCTTTCTCTCCTCCTTCTGGTGCTACCATTATGTATAAGTTACATCTTTCATAATTGTCCCACAGTTTTTCGATATTCTCTTTTAGTTTTTTCATTTTTTTTTTTCTATTTGCTTTGCTTTTCAGTTTGAGAAGTTTCTATTGACATATCTTCAAGCTCTATTGACATATCTTCAAGTTCACAGATTTTTTTTTTTTCCTCATGCACCTCTAGTCTACTGATGAGGCCATTGTCTGAGTCTACTTGGGCTGCTATAACAGAATACATAGACTGGGTGGCTTATAAACAAGAGAAATTTATTTCTCACAGTTCTGGAGGCTGGAAAGTCCAATATCAAGGTGCTGCCAATAGACCTGGTATCTAATGAGAGCCACTTCCTGAGTCATAGGTGGCTGCTTTCTCATTGCATCTGTACATAGTGCAACGGACAAAGGAGCTCTCTGGGGCTCATTTTGTAAAGCACTAATCCCTTCCATGAGGGCTCTGCTCTCATGACCTGATTGTTTCCCCAAGGCCTCACCCCCAAAATACCATCACATTAGAGATTAGATTTCAACACACGAATTTTGACTAGGGCACAAACATTCACTCTGCACACATCAAAGGCATTCTTCATTTTTGTTATGGTGTTTTGGATTTCTAGTATTTCCTTTTGATTCTTAAGGTTTCCATCTTTCTGCTTACGTTAACCATCTTACATATTGTGCACTTTTTTCCATTAGATCCCTTTGCATATTAATCACAGTTATTTTAAATTCCCAATCCGATAATTCCAAAATCTCTGTCATATCTGGTTCTGGTTCTTGTACTTGTTTTGTCTCTTCAGACTGTGCATTTTGCCTTTTAACACGCCTTGTAATTTTTGTTGAATGCTGGACATCATGAATGGGTAAAGGGAACTGTGACAAATAGGCCTTTAGTGGGAAGTGTTGTGTTTATATGGCCAGAAGTTAGGCTGTGTTTACTGTTTGCTGTAGCCATAGATATCAGTGAGTAAAATTTTCTCTGGTGTCCTTGTTTTTATCTCCCTATTGTCTTTGGGTTTCTCTAGATATTCCTTTTTAAATCGGGTTGGAGCCTTGCAGTTCTTTCCACTGTAATCCTGTTATTACATAGGAGCCCTGCTGATGTGGTGGTGAGATGGAGGGGCAAGGAAAGCATTCTGTAATCCTGTGATTAGGTCTTGGTCTCACTCAGGTCTCATGATGAGTCGGTGCCCCTGCACTGTTACTTTCACAAGTGCTACTCAGCTTCCTCCTCTCCCCTAAATAAGACAGGACGTTTAGAGTTGGGTATTTCCCTTCCTCCATGTTGAAGGTTAGAGGGAGCTGGATATTTTTCTTCCCCCACATTGTCAATTAGGCTCTGGTAAAACCTATCATGGGGGCCAGGTGTGGTGGCTCACACCCATAATCCCAGCACTTTGGGAGGCCGAGGCAGGTGGATCACCAGAGGTCAGGAGTTCAAGACCAGCCTGGCCAGCATGATGAAACTCCATCTCTATTGTACTAATAATACAAAAAATTAGCCGGGTATGGTGGTGCATGCCTGTCATCCCAGCTACTCCAGACACTGAGGCAGGAGAATCACTTGAACCCGGGAGGTGGAGGTTGCAGTGAGCCAAGATTGCGCCATTGCACTCCATCCTGGGTGACAAGAGCAAAACTATTTCCAAAAACAAAACAAAAACCTACAGTGGGTTAGGCTCTGATAAAATCATCTCCCTTGAGAGCCAGCCATTATTAAGGAAATATACTCTCAGCATATTTCAGAATTCCTGTTTGGGGGTCTGACAGGGGTTGCTTTTCTCCTCCCCCTGTCAGAAGCATAAAAGGATTCTTCTACAATCTTCACAGTAAGAATCTGGTGGTGTTCCTGGAGGTAAAAGTCAGGAAACTGTGAGGGTCCTCTTGAGACTCCCCACACCTCAACCCAGAGTTTCTAATTCCCAAGCGAGTTCACGCCATTTCTCCAGCTTGTCAATCGCAGTCTCAGTGTGTGTACCTGTACTGGCCCCAGCAGTGGGCTTCTGCTCCTGGGCTTCTATTCTAGTTAAGCCGTGATCCACCTCTCTCCCATTTTCGGAGCAGCAGTCTGCCCTGTGACTTTAGTTCTCTGAGGAATCTAAGAAGAGTTGTTGCTTTCGAATTTGTTCCACTCTTTCTTGTGGGAATGGGACGGATGATTTCTAAGCTTTTTACATGTTGGAGTGTAAACTGGGACTCTACGTTTTATTTTATTGATAACTACTGGTGGTGAACATTTATGGTCTGTCCGACTTCTGTTTCTCCCTTTCTAACAGCTGCCAATTTCCGTTTGGCATCCAGGTGGCTCCAGGGGGTGCGGTTCCAGCCAAGGCTCCAGAGTAGGGGTGTCAGAATATCTACTGGCCTGGCCACAGTGTGATGGTTCTGGTGGGCATGTGACCTAAGTTACCTTAACAAGATCTTGACACTCGCATTTCTCAACTCAGTTTCCATGAGATAATTAAGCCCTACACAAATGACTTGACTATTTTCTAAGCCAAGGATATACATAGCTGGCAACATTCTAGATGCATAGGACAGAAGTTAGTACATGACAGCGTGTATGTTTTAGGACGTTCAGTTAATTCCCTCAGGGAACTCTGGTTCAAAAGGACCACTCTAGACTGTTGCTCCTCATCAAGCAAAGAAATGACCTTGCTACCAAAGGTCTGACAGACGAAAAAGAGCTACCAAGTCTGACTGGGCCAAAACCCAGAAGAGAAAGGAATCCCCAGAACAGACTGCTAATGATTGAACTGCTTCCCCTCAAAAGGCATTTGCTGACTCCAGCACAGGGACTGAGATAGCAGAGAGTGTAGCTGAGAGGCTAAGAAGTGAGCAGAGTTTTCTCGGCTTATGGGGCTGGAGAGAGAAAACTTGCAGGTAAGGTCCTGCCAAAGGGAAAAGTACAATAAACACTCTCAGCTTTGAACTGGGACTTTGAGCGTGCTGTACATTCTAGGAGTAAGGCATCATCGGAAATAGGCCAAGCCTCGCAAAGAATGAAACTCGGCTTTAAGCAACTAACTCCATCATAGGTTGGATAAAAGAGATTTACTCCTGTCCTTTCTGCCTGCCAGACTCAAAAACAAGTCATTTCTGGAAGAAGAAGCTATCATCCAGAACAGTGCTATCCAATAGAAATTTCACATGAACCACATATGTGATTTAAATTTTTCAAGAGCCACTTCAATAAAAGTAAAAAGAAGCAGATGAAATTAGTTTTAATGATGTGTTTTATTTAATTCAATAATCTAAAATATTACCACTTCATGTTAATATTTAAAATTTTTCATCTGTCATAGTTGTAGTGAAAAAAGAAAAATATTTAAAAAATAAAAAATTGTGAGAGATTTTACATTTTTATATTTCTT